AGAAACACTGTTAACTGATGATATTTATGGAGGGGATAATAATCAATGTAATGAAACAAGCTATATGAATGGTTGAATGTGAAGCTGATGATGTGCCCTATAAACTTTCACTCAATCCAAAATAAAAACATTTAATTAAAAAAAAAAGAGAGAATGGCAAGACTTTGTCCCATGCACTTTGAACATGCTATCAAGATGAACCAACCCCTGGAGGACATTATGCTTGGTAAAGTGGAGGGTCAGTGAAAAAGAGGAAGTCCCTCAACAAAATGGATTGACACAGTGCCTACAACTATGGGCTCAAACACAATTTTGAGTTTGGTGAAGGACTTGGTTAGATTTGTCTTCTGTCCTGAGTAGGATCACTATGAGTTGGAATCTACTTAACTACACCTGAATGCCTTCAGGTAGGCAACTAGTTTACAGAATTGGGTGCCCTTTGGGCATTTATCAGTAGGACTAAAGGTGCTTGAAACATTTTCAGATAAGAGGCCAAGGAACTGTATGGCTGAGGAGCCAAGAACCAGAGAGAAGCATGCCAGTGGTCCATCTGAGAAGAGGCACTCCTGACCAGAGAATTGCTGTATCCTGAGTTGTTCCTGTTCTTGAATTGTACCCTTTAATTGCACGTATAATCTGTGAGTTCTTTGTGGCCATTGCAATGGATGATCAAATCCAGCAGAGACATAGAGTACTGTGGGAAGGATGGCTGGTGTCAAAATAAGACAAGCATATGAACAAATGTTCAACATCACTCAAAATATTAATCAGGAATGGAAGAGCATGTTTATCTATCAGTGACTAAGCAGGAAAGCGTTAAGCAGATCTGTAAGTCATTTCTCCTTTGACAGGAGAATACTTATAGGAAAGCAAGCAAGAAAGAGATGCAGTCTAATCTTCTCAAATGATTTGCTAGCATAGCAATAGAGTCCATTCGTACAGAATTCCTTTAGCAGCATGTCCTTGGGATCGGATTCTTTATGGTAAACACATCATGAGTCTATATAAATTTGATAGGTATGGAGGGAGACAGTGTCTGACTTCCTCAAGCTTCACAAGGATAAAGGAGGAAAATCACTGTCCCCGCTGCTTCCCAATGCAGGGATTGCTCATGCTGCTTGTGGCTCTTCTTTCTTCTCATCTAGTCCTATTTCTGAGATGGCTCCTTTTAAACCTAGTGGGATGGCAAAATTAATCAATCCCCATATTAAAGTCCCAAACTCCCTATTTGCATGTCCCCACACAATCATGTGATGGGAGCCCACAGCTAGAAGAGACATATAAAGTAAATTCGTTGTAGTGCACTGCCTCATGGGCGACAAATATGAGAAGCTGGAAAGTAGATGAATCAAAAGTGATCATCTTAGTGGGCCATGAAGCAACCTAATTTACACAACAAAATTAGAAGACTAACATCTGAAGAACTGTTCAAGGAAGATAAAATGAGAGGAAATAATAAACAATCCAACACCGGAACCTAGTTCTAACTCTATAACCCAAACCAGCCAAACCTACTGTCATCGAGCGGATTCCAACTCATAGTGACCCTAGAGGACAGAACAGAACTGCTCCATAGGATTTCCAAAGCTGTACATCTGTTGGGGAATAGGCAGCCTCATCTGTCTCCCTTGGAATGGCAGGTAGATTTGAAAAGCTGACCTTACAGTTAGCAGTCCATTGCTTAACCCATTGCACCATGTGGCCTCCTTTCTAATTCCAAACCCACTCACTGCCATGGAGTCAAAACCCTGTATAGGGTTTTCGAGGCTGTAAATCTTTACGAGAGCAGAGTCTCTCATCTTTCTCCTGCAGTTACTTGTGGGTTTGAAGTGCTGTTTACCCTACAGTACCTTCAGGGCTCCTTCCTAATTCCAAACTCCAGTGCTATTTATTGTTTCTCAGTATTACTAACATATTTAATCCATATTAACTCTAAAGTGACACTTTCTAAGCTTTCACAAATGTTGAGGTTTAAAAAAAAGTTTGGGGCTTATATTACTCACTCTTCCTGAAACAATCATACCAAAATAATTGGAAAAACTAAAGAATTATGGTGGAAAACACAAACTAAGAAACAAAGATTATTCATAGAAGTTATGCAAAGTAGCTCAATAATCATATAAGGAGGCCTTCCATTGAGCTGAGGCTGCTATAAAAGGTTAAAGCTGTAACTGACATCAAAGCAAGAAAGCCCCCACAGAAAGCAAATTCAGAGATGCAGAATTGACTAATTTAATAAAAAGAAAAGAACATCTGTGTCCTCTATAGTATCTGGAGATGTCTCACCCTCATACTCAAGCAAAGAAACAGCAGAAGCTTCATTTAGCCTTAAATCAGCCTGGTTCTCAAGTGGAACATGTGAGTCAAACACCAGGCAATCTATGGCTCACCATTTCTCAACAACCAATTACACTGGAATCTCAAAGTTGTTCTGGAGTCTCATTGGTTATTAAGGCGGTGTTTGAGTCACTACGCTAGCCAATGCATCTTTCAATTAGTTGGTGCATTTTAAGTCAAAATAAACACCAACCGAAAGAACAGCTGGCAAGAGGGTGTACACTCGTTCCTTTTCTTTGGTGCCCCATAACTTTTCTCCTCTAAGTTCTCGTCTGTTCATTCTTGGACACTTCTCATTTTTACAATGTTTTTGTAAAGTGCCTGGCACAACATTCCAAGTAGTTCAAACACTGTATCAACAAAGAACACAAAGACATTAATTAAAAACAGGTGTATGTGTAGTCAATAAGTGGCAGGACACAAAAGGAGTAAAACAATCCAGCTAGGTGTATGTGGGAAGAATGGACAAGTAAAACAAGAGAAAGCAGAAACAAAAGTAGAGTTGTCTTTATTACTATGTCAAAATATGCCAGACTTAGAGGTTTAAATAAATCTTTGAATGTGAATTTCCAAAATGGAGGTATTAGTATAACTGAAATAAATTATAAAAACAAGTTAAAAACTCCATTTGAATCAAACGGAATGTAGCCTGACCTAGAAACTTCTGATTTTGCTGAAAAGATAATTCAGACTTTGTCAAAAGTTTAACTGCTGGCAAGCCAGTGGGTAAGAGTCAGGGTTTCTGGCTTAGGTGAAAAATTGTTAAAAGGGCCTGTGTAGAATGTTTTCTGAGTTTAGTCTTAAAGAATGCCTTTCTCACACATGCCCTCTCCACCCAGCTATCCCCTTCCCTCTCCCCCCAGGAAACAGGTGGAAGATAGAGATATCAGGTAATCAAATTTCAGAAGGTCGCCCAAATTAGATTCATTTTCAGGCACTAAAATCTTGCTCTCAATTTCTGTTCACTGGAGCTCTGGTAGCGTAGTGGTTACGAATCAGGCTGCGAACCTTAAGGTCAGCGGTTCGAAACTACCAGCTGCTCTGCGGGAGAAAGATGAGGCCTTTTGGTCCTGTAAAGATTTA